ACACACAAAGTAATGTTCTAACTTGCTGCTCTCCTGGTAGAGAACTGCCCAAGACAACAGATATTTGAAAGGGAATAATCTACATATATTCTAGCCACTCAGTTCTCTAAGTCTTAAGCAAAAAGTGTTTTTACCTTCCCTTCAAGAGTTATAGAGTCTTGTCAGAAGGCATTTCTATCTTCTTCTAAAAGCTACCATGAGGCAAAAAGAAATAACTCAGTGTTACTGCTCTTGCAATTCTAACACTCATATGGGGGCTTACAACCACTTCTAAGTCTAGTTCCAGGCATCTAACACCTTCTCTGGCCTCTGCAAGTTCCTGAACATACATAGTATACATAAAAATCACACAGGGACACAAGCATACACATAAATAAGTAAATAATTTTAACTAAGTAAATAAAGACTGTCTACTATGCCAGACATACTACAGATGCCTGTAATTACAACACTGCCAGTGGTGCTGAAACAGGACAACTTAAGAGTTTGGGGTCAGCCTGGGAGTGAAAAGAGGAAAAAAACTAAGAACATGATATCATCAGATCTCTTGCCTGCCAGTTCTGAAGTGACTTTCAAGAAGCTCAAAGATAAATTCTACTCCACTGAGGGCCACTGTCCTCAGCCCTGGATTTGGCATATTATTTCCCTCATTCTCCTGAAGGTTCCTGGTCTTTTTATTTGATTTTGAGGGTGTTTTTTTGTTTTCATGCACAAGAGTAAAGCCAGGGCTTGATGCATACTAACCATGCACAATTAGCACCAAGCTGCAGCCTCAGTTCTTCCTTTTGTCTGATGGGTCCAGTGATGTATATTTGATTGAAATCACCTTAAAATATTTTTTCCGAAGTGCTGAGGGGGAGGGGTAGTAGTGAAGTGTGTGCTAATGAATAAGGCCTTAGTTTTAACTCAGTACACCAAAAAGAAAAAAAGAAAGAAGGAAAGGAAGGAAGGAAGAAAAAAATCGTTTTTAGAAGTGGTATAATTTTAGAAGTAGTGTAATTTTTGAAACACACCCACTGGCCCCCAACTCCCCTTTTTTCACACCTGTATCTGCTGCTTACCTAGTCTCCTCTGTTTCTGGTACTGAATTCCTTCTCCTGAAGGGTTGGAGGGATGTCTTAGGGAATCTATTGCTGTGATAAACACCATGACCAGAAGCAACTCGGAGAGGAGAGGGTTTATTGCATCTTACAATTCTCAGGTCATAACCCAACATTGAGGGAAGTCAGGGCAGGAACCTAGAGGCAGAAACTGAAGCGGAAGCCATGGAGGAATGCTTACTTACCCTTCTTTCTTGCTAAGCCTGCTTTCTTATACAACTCAGGACCACCTGACCCAGGGGTAGCACCACTCCCACTGTGGGTTGGGCCTGCCCACATCAATCACTAATCAAGAGAAAGCCTTAAAAACTTGCCTATAAACAATCTGGTGGAGGTACTGTCTCAGCTGAGGTCCCTCCCCCAAACAACACTAGCTTGTGTCAAAGGGAGTACTCACTCATATTGTAAATTCCCTTACAATCTTATGTAATACTGTTTTATGGGTGCTGTTTTCTCATGAGCATTGTCTTCAGCTCCTCAGAGATCTTAGTAGGTACAGAACATATCCTACAGATCTTCATGCCACCAGCAGCCTCAAAACAAACCTTCATACTGCAGATACACATTTAAGGATGTTTTCTGTTAATGGGGAAAGTAAGTCAACATTTTTCGAGGCCCACTAGAAGCCATGTGGGAGGTAATAGGGTGAAAATGAGATTCCTGTCTTGAAGCTGTACAAACATGTAAATTATCTATAGAACCAACAGGAAAGTTCCTTGTGTGGCTCTATTTGGCAGGATTAGTGTGAGAACACTGAAGCATCTAGTCAAGACCAAAAGAACAGGACTTACCCATTCAAATAATGGCTCCAATGAGGTAAGTACACGGCAATAATACTCAAAGAACAGCAAGTTCATTTCCATGAGCAAACATTGCTAGACAATGGGGGCAAGCTTTGGGAATGGCTGGCAGAGAGCCTGAACAGCAGGGCAAAGCCAGAGCCTGGCTTTCTCTGAAGGTGATACAATAAGGTGCACACTTTGGAAAAGGAGACTGAGTCAAGAATAGAGAGGAGGGGAGAGCCAGAATAAGATGCTGGAGAGTAAGACTACAAATAGAGCCAACAAGATACCTTGCCTGTCTACACTCTCAAGTAGGAATCTGGGACCCATTTAAGACCTTCATATGAAACCCCAAGTGCCAGGGCAGGGCCACTTGACTCAACTACCCCCCCCCAATGTAAATGCATGTGACTTACTAAAGATAATATAACAAGCTGGCTTAGAGCAATGGAGTGTCTCTTGAAGATTTCAGCTCTGATGTTCATTAGGTATATGAGCAAAAGGACACAATCTTACTTGATTCAGCAGAAAAGCCTGCAGGAGAAACCCGGGGAGGGGGCATTAAAAACACTACTTCCAAGCCTTCCTGGCCACTCAGTGCCAGCCAGCCAGCTAAATACAAGCTACTCCTGTCTCCTGGGTAAGGAGATACAGAATGCCTACAAGAGTGAGTAGCTCAGTAAGTTCCCAGCCAATATTATAAAGAAAATGTAAAAAAGGCATGGGTCCTTGGATTAATGTCACAGTCCTTCAAGGGTCCTCAGAACTCAAGGTGAGACTCACTATCCTAGAAAATAAGGCAGAGGAACAGAAGAGCATTCAATTCATCAACAAACAGCTGTGGTCACCACAGAATTTGGTACAGTGTTACAGGTACACCGGGAAGCCTAGGTAACACCAAGCAAGGAAAAAATGAGAGACATGTGGCAGGAAGTGATGGGCAGCAGAGTAGAGCTCAGAAGGATCTGATTTTCAAACCTGAGAGCAAAGCAGGTGTCTGGAGTTTGAAATGAAGTGAGAAACCAAAAACTTCTGGTCAGGAAGTGATATGTTGAGCACAGTGCTCCAGGAGAACTCTTGCTTGGGGTAGGGAAGGGGGAGTGGGGAGGGGTTAGTTCTAGGCCTCCCTCTCCATGAACAATCTACCAAACAACAGTTTTCAACTATTTAATAAGATTCCACTTCTAAGCTGCACCGATTCAAAATGCTGGCCACTTAAATTGATACAAGCTATACTACTGTGGCACACAGCATCTTAATGAATTTCTGGACAATACTAAATAAAAGTCTACTGAATATAGTAAACATCTGAGCTTAAGAATCAGTCTGAGAACTTGGAAAAAGAATCATGTGCAAGAGATCTCTAGCATTAAAGAAGACAGTGAACATCTCGGGGGAGAGTTCAATAGTAGAGCTCGAGGTTTTCTTCATCAACCTTTAATCTTTTTCCTACCCTTCTATCTTACTAGTTTCTAAACATTTATTCATTATAAGTACTTTAAACAAGATTCAATAATAACTGAAAAAAATAACCAGTATCCAGTATTGAAACAGTCTAATGTTAGGGGACTATGTATCTGCTCTTTATAATACTAGACAACTTTGAGACCAGGTGCAGCTCCAATAAGACACTTCTTACCTGTTGGGCCTCAGAAAATTCAAACTCCTAGGCCTCAAATTCTACATCTAAAAATGGAAATAAGGGACTTTGTTGTGGAAACTAATATTGAGTCAGTATGTAAAAAGTGACTACGATATAGTAAGTATGCAGGTGTGGTGCATATTGGCTACGATTATCATCTTCGTTTTAGAATGACTTTGCCTGCCATCGGAAGACATTACTTCAATACCACTGATTCCCAGACTGCACCGTTTGATAAGGCAGTGGTTGGCCCTACCTGTTGCAACACCTCCAGGAGATGACTATTGTAAATCAGTCAAGTTCAGCAGTCCACATGGGGTCCCAACATCCAAGACGGCACAGCCTAATTAACTCACCCATGGAGTTCATGGTTTTGGAATTAGAAACGCTGGTCTCTGGAATCAGAAACTTTGGGACCAGTCTGTCAGGCTACGCCCCAAAATGTGTGAAAACCTGACTCTCACGAGTTTGTAAGGGGGAGGGGAAAGTGTGTAAACATTAAGAATAAAAATAATCTGTAACTCCTATTGTCTCTTTTCCACTTGAAGCTCTGGTAAGGGGTGCCCCAAACACAGCAGCCGCTGGTGCCCCAAACACAGCAGGTGAGCAGGTGAGCAGGTGAGCGTGGTTGAGCAAAGCGACTCCACACCCATGTTGACAGATCACTGGCCCTTTTCCTTCCTGGCACCAGGATCTGCAAAGTACGAAATGCCTTCCAAGCCCACTCTTGGGCTCGGTGGAAGAAACGCCACAGTTACAGTCACAGGTGAGCCCCAGGGCTCCTGTGCGCAGCACAAGCTCACACACCCCCCAAGAGCTAGCAGAGCAAGACACGCCGCCCCAGCTGAAGCCGCCTCTCCCCGCGGCGGCGGCGGCGCACACCTTCCGGGATGCGCCGAGGGCAGTTCCCCGTGGCCCGGCCGCCCTGCGCGGGGAGGCGGCCCACGTGCCCCGCGGCCACAGGCCGCTCGTCCCCGCCCCGCACTCACCTGGCCGGTGATGCCCGTGATGAGCGCCACCTTCCTGGGCTTGCCCATCTCGCCGTCCCCGGAGCCCCTGAAGCTCGGGCAGCTAGCGGGCGCGTGAGCCATGTCTGTCGCCGCGGGCGGGTGAGCGTGCCGCTGAGAGGAAGGCGGAGTGGAACGGGCGGCGGGCCGGCAGAGACGTGGGTGCGCGCGCCAGTCGCCTCCCCGAGCTGCAGCGGCCGCCACAGTCTGACAGGGCGCGCGGGAGGCCGGGCGTGGAG